ATTTAATTATAAAACCAATTGTAAACATGTAACAAAATTAACAACTCAATAATATTAAATGCCTTTAAGTGCAAATCAAACGTTGTTAAAAACAGCTCACAAAACATAATTTATTGCTTCTACATCGTCATTTGCACATGGAGCATAAATGTCGAAGTAGCCATATGTCAGACCTCTTATATTGCCTCTTGCCCTCCCCTACCCAAAAAAAACAAACCTTCTAGTTTGGTGTCTTGGCTGAGTTACGAACCTGCGCACTCAGTTTCAAGTAACATTAGATTCCATATGTTATTTAAACGAGAAAAATGTACTTGTGCTCATCTATATGCACACATGTGCATTCCACATCTGATACAGCTGTAGTGCACATCAGGAAAAGAACCAATTTCTTTTGCCTCCGTGCAAACATAACCATAGCTCTCCGAAGGGAACATTGTGATAAGTGGATTTACCTCCTATTTACATGCGTAGAATTTGACAACTATACATATTAAGGCAACGAAACAAAAAAAAAGAACATAACAATAAAAAAGCCTCATGCCGGCTATCATAATCAACATGATTTTGTCAGTTTTGTTTCATATATGATCTCTTTTTCAGTTTACAAAACAAGTTCATATTTGTCTGTACAGCTAAATAGTCCTTATATTAGCATTAAAAACACACAGCTTCTGGTCGTGGGTATCAGAGGGCATATTAGTCCAGTTTTTCAGAGCACTGACAGGTCGTGACAGGATTTGGACTTCTGTCTAAAGGCCATCTTCTTGTTCTTCCGGGCCACCATGCGGCCCAGGAAACGTTTGGCCTTTTTGCTGATGCTCTCGCGGCGTTTGCAGTTGGCCATGCGGCGGGCGTTCTCTTCCTTGCTGTCCTTGCGAAGGCGAATTTGCCGTACGATGCCCTCGAAGAGGTCGCGCACATTGTGATGCAGGGAGGCTGAGGTCTCAATGAACTTGCAGTCAAACACAACGGCACAGGCACTGCCCTCTAGAGAGACACGGAAAAAGAGATGCAGGTGAGCAATAACTCCATTACCAGAGGGACTGAGGCTACAATGTCATCATTACTATATGCCTCCTGGCTGTTCCTCAAAGCTCAGGAGAGTTGAGTACTTTATCCAAAACATGACTCCAACCAGAGCTGGAAAGTCTGTGTTTCTACATCCCATATTTAAAATAGAGAAGAAGATGGGTGAAATCTTACCATCTACAGAAACTTCTCGCGACCGCACCAAGTCACTCTTGTTTCCCACCAGGATGATGGGGATGTTTTCCGACTGCCGAGCTCTGCGCAGCTGGATTCGTAGCTCCGAAGCTTTCTCAAAACTGGACTTGTCTGTCACCGAGTACACGATGATATAGGCATCTCCCATACGCATGCACTGATCTTTCAGCCACTGGCTGTTATCCTAGGAATAAAATTTACGGTTATACAGTGCAAAGTTTATGGTAATCATAAGCCATTCCATTTTTTAAATCTATGTATATTTATTTAAATTAATTTAAAATATTTTAATATTTGTATTTTTTAAATTAATTTAAAATAAATACGTGAATAAATTACTCTTATTGTTCATTGCTTACCTGTTCCCATATATCATACAGAAGGATTGATGTCTCCTCATCATCAACCACAAGGGATCTGTCATATGTGTTTCCTGAAATTAAAGTACAATAGCTACATAAGCACACGATATATCACACAGGTTTTTTTTTTTTTTTTAAATGACCACCTCACTTAAGACAGATGCTGCACTTAAGACTGACTGTGTCCTAAAATCTTCTGAAATGATAGGTCTGAAGATATTTACCCGTTTCCTCGCAGTCGCTACTGTCTTCAACTCCACCGAATATTCTCGCCAAACTCGACTTTCCAACGCCGTGCTCGCCCAGGAGAACCACCTTGTAGACCTGTCCGTCTGAGTCGCTGCCGGAGGAGATGACCGAGTCGGAGGAGTCGGACACGCAGCTGTTCCTGTGCTGCTCTCCCGGACTGTAGCGCATAAGGCTGGACAGCTCGGTGGGTTGAGCCTCGGGCATCGAGTGTAGCTCTCGGTCGTCCACTGGCATGCTCCTTCTGTGCAAGTTCTGCAGGTGGAGGGGAAACGGCATGCTACCTCTCCTCTTTTCCATGTTCCTCAACTTGTCTCCTTTGTTCAAAGTCATGACTCCAAACCTGTCTGTGTAGAACTATATTATAACAACTGTAGGCTATACTTATACACTTATAGGCTAGCCTACCTATAATACTACTAAGAGATATGAAAACATATCAAAATTATACTTACATGTGAGTGGGGCTATAACGTCTTCCGTTCAATGTCAAAATTCCAGTTGTCCCGTTTAACTCCGTTATTCTTCCACTGAGGGTTTCGCTTATAATCTCTGACGATACGTGGATGCCTTATTTATGCGAGTGAGTGACGTCAGCCCGAGGGAGGGCTTGCCTCGGAGAATCAGTCATCTCTCATAGTAGTAACATGATTTTGAGGGAGGGGCGTGTGATTCACAATCTTGCGAGGGCGTCCAACAGAGAGGGGTCTTCCCTCCCCTGCTCGTGTAGTGCCTAGTAGTGCGTGGACGATGGGCTTAATCGGTTTCGGCCAAATGCGTTCTTTGTCTGTTGTGTAAAGGCGTATAGTCAGTCATAATGCTTCAAGAAATCAGATTGCACACATTGTTTTCCCTTTCATTACACTGCTGAAACAAACATCTATTTTTAGCTGGTTTAATGGTCTTATAGCCGGAGAACACTGTAAAATTCGTCATTTTTATAGACCAAACAATTTGAAAATGCTGTAAATTAGTAGGCTATAAGATGCCTATAATGACCCTATATGGTAAAATATATTTCAATAGACAACTATGTAATTTTCCTGTCAATTTTTTTAGAATGAATTATAGCGTGTATTTTTAAACTCTCTCTCTCTCTCTCTCTCTCTCTCTCTCTCTCTCTCTCTCTCTCTCTCTCTCTCTCTCTCTCTCTCTCTCTCTCATATATATATTACACTGGGGTGTTTTTTTTCTGTAGCATTTCATGTTATTTGTATAATTTTAGTGTTATTGTTATTCTGATGTTTTCTCTTTTGTGTGGCAAACTGTGCTTTATATTAGCCTAATATTATTGGAAAGGTACATTTTTAAGTCAACATTATGCTTTTAATTGTACAGCCTTTTTTATTATCACCAGTATTTTACAGTAACAAAATTAAAACAGTTGGACAGTTTGGCACATTAACAATTAAATTAAATTAATTCATAACATAGTCACAAATTGTAAAGTCACTATAATGTCATCACGTATCATCATTGAAACCTTTTTTTTTATTTGTATATCGTGGAATTACCAAGGGCAAAACGACCCTTTCATCACATTGCTGGAGTGCATTATTGATAGTTCAATGTTGCCATCCAGTGGCAAGAATCGGTACATAATTGACCATTTCTTCATGTTTTATTAGATCTGATTTTTTTTTTTTATTCATTTGCTCTCACGTGTTGAGACTTTTAATAAATTTGGCAAGTATGCTCCACTCAGTTCTTTTACACGCAGACTTATTATGCGGAGGATGTTTATGCATTGCAATGACTTGCCAAAGTTATGGGATCCTGCACTAGCTTCTGAAATTCAACTAACACGCCAAGGCCTGGAATATAAGTGCTTAACCACGAAGGAACACTTTACAGAGCAATAGATATAACCAAGTCTTGGACATAAGCATAATCATAATAAGTGTATAGATCACAGTTAGTTGATGCATTGCATCCTTTATAATGTATAGCCTAATGTTTTAAGTGAGGATAGGAGCAGGCTTCACTCAATGTATACACTAATAAACTTGTGCTCACAGATCATTTATTTATACATCCAAAAACAGGCAGGACATACAAAGTAAAGGGCAGAATCACGTTTATCCACGTTTATTGTGTATTTACTGACGTGCCCTTGTTTTTATGGGCAAAACGAAGCGACAACTTAAAACCAGAATTTTTTTTAGCTTAAATGCGCTATTAGAAAGAATGATGACAACTATAAAAAGACTATTGAATAAGAGTTCTGTTACATGAAATAATATCTATCATGCATTTTTAATGCATGCCACAGAAAGCACTTTTTATGACTTGAAAGCCAAGCAAGTGTAATCTAAATCGACTGCTTAGTTGCCTACCTGTTGTGTAAACCTAAAATAAACTTATTATAGTATCTGTATCATCACTGTCTTCAGCCTTTATTTTAGAAAGACTATGGATTATCTTCAAACCTTTAGATGACAAAAAAAAAGTTTCAATTATAACTTACAACACAGGTCAGTAACTTGTTAAATTGCAATAACATAGAACGTAAGGTCAATGGTCTGTGATGAAGGTTAATAATAACTAATTCTACAGAAGTTCCCATGCCTCTTTTGTGAAGTGTCTATTGTAAAGTCAAGAAGGGATAATGTACATCCAAGCCAGTGGTTCTCTCAAAATAAACCCTGACAGGATAATGAGGACCCAAACACGAAGCGTTGTCCACGGTGAGAGCAGTCTATGGGTGAGAGCAGTTGCAGCGGCAAGTTCAAACTAAACGGCCATTTAAGAGATAAGGTAAACCGTCATTCATGTCACTTATTACACAGCATTTCGCTACATAAATAATTATGGGGATAAGATATTTTGATTTCAGATTTAACTGTTTTAAAATCGTACCTGTTTGTATCTCATGATTCAACAGTGTACATAACAACAGTCAAAATGGCAGCAGGTGCGTTAGTATAAAAAAAGAGCCAATGATACTGGATGGCATAATTAAATAACTGTACACAAAATATTCATTAGACTGCGTTTTAATATTTTATTAGCTCACCAAACGCAAAACTTCTTAGCAAGCATATAGAACTGTTGACTTCAGTAACCCGGATGAGCCTGCGTTATCTAAGTGGTTGATATCTAGGAATGACTTTCTGCTGGATGGCACTATTGGCCAATCAGAATCAAGAATTCCATAGAGCCGTGAAATAATGATGTAAAGTAAATCTGTATTTGATTTATCTGGAGGAATGAAATATTTATACCACAGCATAAAAAATTAGGCCGATTTTATTTATTTTTAGCCTTTTTTATTTATTGTTACCTTCCAATCAAGCTCATGCAAGAAAAAAAATATCAGATTACAGTAAATAGCTGTAACATCAATACAACTGAGCTTAGGAAAATATTGTTTGCTTACGAGTCATTGCTTGAACTTTTTCTTAAACTCAATTTTTTATTGGCAAAAACAAGAGGTACAAAACAAAGCAGTCCAAACTATTTCTGCTGTACACATGCTCCATTTTGATCAATAAGAAATGTCTTTGAGAACAACTCTAAAAGGATGCTATGTCAAAATGAGACTACTATTAAAAGTAATTTTGTACATATTCACAAATATATGACATAGTTACAAAATAGCTTTTCATTCTGTATTCACATAACATTAATACAAATTCTGTTTCCACATACCTATTAGTGTGGTTCCCTTTCCTGACACCTTTTTAACTCACCTCTCACTTTATAAGTACTAACCAGTCTTCCTGATCTGGTACTGTGAGTGTAGCAATAGAATTATAAAAGAAGCAAAACAATAGCAATAACGATAAATTCAATAAAATTATTATCATCATCATCACACAACTCTGGCTTGCCTTTAGGAGTTCAATCAAGATAACGTGTCAAAGGAGCACACTGGAGCGGCAGGCTTCTTCTGATCACATGCTTCTGGTGTACAGACACTGGTTGACCACCTCCAGAAGCTGAGAGTTCTCCAGAGCTGCTGCTACTCTCTCTTTGTCAGCGAGCTGCTTATTGACTGAAGGAGAAAAAAAAAACAAAAAAACACAACATATTATTATCAAACTCAACAGGGTGCTATGTGATAATACTCTACCATTTTTGATACATTGTTTTCTAAAGCCTATATATTGTCAACACTTTGCTGAAAAACACGATGCACACAATCTACTACATGCCTTCTACAGTGACTGATGGTTCAAGTAAATGGCCTTTAGTATAATTCTAAAAAGGTCATAGTACACGTGTAAAAATAACTTTTATTTTGTAAGTAATATTTAAAAATGAACATTTCCTGGAGTGAGAGAACTTTCTCTTTATTTGATTATGCATGTTAGAAAACCTGACTCTCAACGCAGGAGAACCCGGTTTGAGGCCCACACAGAGTGGGACGAGGGGTTACACAAGCATATTTAAAAAAGAAAAATGAATCAAATATGATATAACAGGCTATTGAGGAATGTATATTTTTACATTTCTTAAACATCCTTGCAGTGCATTGCATTTATATGTTTTGCCCCACACAATTAAAACTACAGAGCTTTGATCATAAAACAAAGCATTTTAACATCTTAATATTTATCCGTATAACATATCTTGGATCTTACGAAGACACTGTTACTTGGGAGATGAGTAGCAAATCATATGCATTTTAGGAAAGTAATATACTGCTATACTTATATAAAATCTCATAATTTATATTACAAGCCATCAGAAATGTACCGTATGTTTTGAATGTATAAAGATAATATCTGCTCAAAATTACAGTTTTGCTTAGTGGACTGAATAATACGCATGTAATTTTTTTTTTCTTACGTGAGTCCCATATTCTCACTATGTCATCCTAAATGGGCCATAAAAGCCTGATGTATCCAACAGATAATATCAAAAACATATGCCATATATAATATATGTAATGTAGTGTGTGTGTGTGTGTGTGTGTGTATATATATATATATATATATATATATTATTTGCAAAGCTGACTTTTCATCAGCCATTAAAAAAATAGGATTCTTTACTTAAAAAATAACAGCATATATTTAAAATATAACATACAACAACAACAATACCTTTCAAAAGTTTGGGGTCAAACATTTCTTTCTTTTTTAAAGAAATTAATATTTTAAGGATGAGTTAACTTGATAAACAGTGATAGTAAAGATTTATATTGTTATAAAATATTTATATTCTAAATAAATGCTGTTTCTATTCAATGCATTCTAAACTTTCTATTCATCAACGAATCCTGAACATCCTGATAAAAAATATTCAGCAGCACAACTGTTTCCAACATAACGGAGTAGCAAATCAGCATTAGAATAAATGTTTACCTGCATCCTCTGAGGCATGTGTGCCAGGTGTGATATGAACGTCAATCTAACAACAAAAAGGCAAAAACGAATTACTTAAATGGGAAATCCCAAAGCCAGTGTTTGGCAGCTCACTAAAATGTACCTTAAACCTGTCTGGCAGGGAGCGCAGAAGCTTGACTTTGATAGACAGGCCAATGAGAGTGGCCATACTGCAGTGTGGGATAGTCGGTGTGAACTCCACAGACACTGTGCTCTCCTCATCATTCACCTACTCGGAGAGAAGAACGTGAAAGAGACAGATAGAATTTTGTATCCATTTGATCAATGCGTAAAGGTCTATTCTTCTTCAAACTGCTCGCAGATCAGACTCACATTGACGCGCATTTGTTCCACGACATTCAGTTCTTCGAGGGACAGTGGGTGCTCGGGATCGTTGATTGATCTAATTAGATGTGATCATTTAGTTAAGAGCTCACTCAAAGTATACAAAATGATTTAAATTGAGGCTTCTAAACTACAGCAGTTTGCTAAGAGTAACTTGGGGTACCATAATTTGATGAACACTCGGCCCGGCAAACAGATAGGCATACACAAGAGATACTCAAAGTTTACTCAAAGATGCCTTATTAATATCAATCTATTTAAAATAGGCTATGCCTCCTCTGTATGGATAGAAAACTGTTATATTACACAAATTCAGATTCTTCTCAGAGGTTTTTCAACATGTTTTATTATGACATTTTCAAAAATAACGAATGAAATAATGTCTCTTCAGTATTAGAAAAATAAATATATAAATAATAAATAACTAAAAGAAATACCTCCAAATTGAACAAAAACAGCTCTCATAAAATTACAAACACGAATTAACAAAATATATTTAGTTTTCTTTTTTTATCCTGTTTTTCTTCCTCATCCTCCTTGTTTGCCCTTTGCCCATCTATATTTTGCTGTAAAACTGATCTTACCCAGCAGTGTTTTGAATACCAGGACATTTTCATCACTGTATAAAAAACAGCTAAGACGGCCAGGACAGGACAGTTGGTCACCCTAGATTAGAATAACTGTCAACAGGGCAGATAATTCAAAGCAACAAGGCTGACTTTACACAGCACTTTTCTAGCTAGAGCCAAATGATGTAAGTTAACGTTAAGGTATTTTGAAAGGATATCGAAGATCTCCCTGTCATCGATGGGGTCCGCAACATCCTCATCTTCATCAGTTGCAGTTAGGAGTCTTTCCCCTGATCGCTGAAATATCAGAGGATTGGCGTTTTCTAATCGAGTTCCTGACATTATTATCTACTCAACGATAAAATAATAACCAACAACCAACGGTGTCCGACGTCAGATATCTTCGCAAACACTGCGAAGCCAAAACCATATGATGTCTATGGTCAAAACAACCCAACCGGAAATAATACCCGGAAACAGTATAAACGATTTTTAAAATAAAAGTTTTATAAATAAAAGTCCGGCAGTTTTAGAAGAAGAAGAAGAAGAAGAAGAAGAAGAAGAAGAAGAAGAAGAAGAAGAAGAAGAAGAAGAAGAAGAAGAAGAAGAAGAAGAAGAAGAAGAAGAAATTTCATCTCAGATTTATGGCAACAGTGACCTCAGATTATCATTGCACAGAATTACCTCGTGGATCAGCATAGACGTATGCTGATAGTGTATGTCTATGGTGGATCAGGACAATTTTCCAGTTTAAAGTGATTTAGTTTTTGAAAGGGGGAAACAAAACAATATTTGTCTTTAACTAAGAGGGGTGATACAAGTTTTATGCAAACGGGCATTCAGCATTATGCAATTGCATACACCTGTTTCTCTAACACGTGAGGCAGACGTGAGCAAAACATTCCCGAAACATCTGTCATCCGGGTGGCCATGACTGTCATCAGTACACTCCAGATTCAGAATAACATAACATGGAGGTAGAAGAATGAAAAGCTCTTTCTTCCCTGAACTAAAACTGTTAGTTTCAGGTTTAGCATTCTCACATCAAAGCAGTGTTCATCAACCTTGAAAGCATTAATTTAACAGTGAGGTTAGGCTATTTGTGAGCCAACCAATGCTTATTCCAGTTATGAAGAGCCGTTTGAACTAATTGTTAGGTATGCAGGGCCATAGCTAGAGGATTCAGGGCCCCCTGAAAAAATATTGATGTGCGCCCCTACCACCCTCCACCAATATCGTTTACTGTACAATAGATGACCATGGAGGCCCACATAACAGAAGATGGTGATGTTGTTGTAAAACCTTTATTCTAAAAAGTTAAATGATACAACTATCAAAAAGCAAGAAATTGTTAAATAATAATAAAACCATTTAAAAAAAAAGTAACACCAAAATAATGCCCCCCCCCCCATCAGTCTGTTACAATTCATACATTTTAGAAATTGACAAGAATGCAGTCAAATGTAAAAAAAACAACAACAACAACAACATTTATTGTCTTATTTTTTTTATAAAGATAATATGGAACTGGTAATTTTATTAAATAAAGCTACAGTAATACATTTATTCATCCAAGTGCAGTGTGTTGTATTTGTGTTTTCTTTGTGTATTAAATAGCCTATATCATCAGCCGGAAGGTCCGGTGCATATCTTTTTTTTTTTTTTTAACTCTATTTCCGTTTGGGTCACATGATGTCACTGTAGCTTTGTGCCGCCATCTTTACGACCGACGGTCTCAGTAATGCCTGCAATATCTTGTGCAGTTAGAAGGATAGAAGAAAGAATGGAAGGATAGAAGAAAGAAGTAGTTAGCTGTAATTGAAAGAGATCATATTGTATCCATAGACTGTAAGCTTGTATCATGTGTCATCTTTCACACACCAAACCCGAAGCGTGCAGCCATAGACCCTTATACATCGAGTAAGTTATGAATTGAGCTCTGTTTCATGTCTGAATGGACAAATACACAAACTTTATGTTTAAATGTCCGTTTTGGAGAGTATTCGAGTAAATTAAGGTTATGTCTTTAACACAGTTGTCATCCAGTCTCTTTGTGTAGAGAGAGAGAGAGAGAGAGAGAGAGAGAGAGAGAGAGAGAGAGAGAAAGAGAGAGAGAGAGAGAGAGAGAGATGAGGAAAACAAACAAGCATGCAAATAGAAATTATCACGGCCGAAAAAATTATCAAGCTATTTTTTTTTTAGTGTGCGATTAAATTATTTATTGACTATCGCGACAGGCCTAATCTAGATTAATGACAGCTAGCCGTGAGCCACTTAACTAGCTAACAATGCTACCTAGTCAGAACAAACCACCACCAAAATCATACATTTGAATTTTTTTTTTCATTACATTTCCAATGATTAAATATAAATCCGCACTTTTACCCATCCAGCCACAGCATATTGATATGCATCAGTGGTACTCTTAAAAGCCTTCAAGCGATCTCCACTGTATGGGGAGGGGTTATGGACAAGAGATATCATGGAAGGCAAATTGGGGCAGATAATAATGGATAAAAGAAAACTGGCGGTAACAAATAAGGATCAGAGCCTATAATTGAATTTTTTCCAGCTATCTCTGTCTCTCTATGAAGAGTGACAGTACCAGGCAGTCTGTAGACGCTATAGTTTTCTGCATGCAGCGAAATAACAATATGACCTGTCTTTAGAACGTCTTGATCGACTGGGATACAACTCTCCTGGCCTCCCTCTCCTTCTTTTCATGTCCTTTCTGGTACCCTGATTTATGTTTTCTTTTCCCTGACATTTTTCAGTCAAGTTAATCTCTTCCACCGAGTGCATTGTTAACTTCAGGCTGCCGCCTCAACTCTGATTGGTTCTGTTCACAAGCTGAGTTAGGACTTACAGTTTTATAAGTCCATCTGATGTTTGTCACTGACTGAATAATAAATACTTTAGATCAGACTAAACCATTTTATGGAGGTAGAGAGGCAGATATTTGGAAAAAAATATTTAACAAACTTGCATGTTTTTGTGGTTTTCATTTAAATGTCAGGCACAACTAATATAAATATTACAATTATTCATACAACAGGGGCCTATAGTATAACTGCTGGATTTTGTGCTATAATTGTTACCACCTTTCACCCCACTAGCGGCGGCCCTGTCTGTATGCAAAGTAGCCTAGATCTTGAGAACCACAGACAGCACACAAGCCAAGCAATCCTATACCAATGCAATCTCAGTGGCAGTGTGCTATACAGTAAATCTTCTTTATTTCATTTAATGGCAATAATCATTGAGATAGCCAGCATTTTCTTGCACATTTCCTTGCACAATAACAATAACCTTCAGATACAGTCCAAACAATAATAATTTAGGTGGCTATTTGAAGATTTTGTTTTAGGAATCATCCCTATCAATCAATTAAAAAACCCAGACTCTGGCCATGTTTGTTCTCACACAATCCTTGCTATTTGTTTTTGCTCTCATTAAAAGTATTGTACTGTGTCACATTAATTATGGTGTTATTTGCAAGACTGCATATCTGCATTAGCTGCCATAGAGAATTAATTTGTTAGCGTTGCACATTTGCTCTGTCTCTTATGAATAAATTCTTATTTAAACTCTTGAAATAAATTAGCTGTTTCATAGCATCCATAACATTTGCTTTCCTCTTAGAAGCTATGGAATTTTAAGAATGCAATGTGTGCTTTATTAATTTACACAATTTGGCTACTACTTAAGTGTTCAGTTCATAATGAGTCTCTTCCTGAGACTCACACAAAGGATTTATAGACAATGAGATTATCAAGAGAGTCACATGTTATATTTAATGGACAAGTGCTTTTATTGCAGGCTCTTTTCCAACCAATGAGACTATAAATCTGGCATCACTGCTCTGCATTTGCCTGTTAAAAGATCACCACTCATTTGCTGTCTGCTTCTACAGTATGTGCTAATGTGAAGGTCAAAGGTTAACTGTATGAAAACTAACAAAGGAATTTATTGAAGTGCCACAACCTCCATCTCCTTTACGGTAGGACATTTGTGCATTCCTAAAATCACAGAGAAGCTGGTGTTGATCAAAGCCTTTTGTTAAAAATGTAACTGAGTCAGAAATGCAGCCCACTTACATTTACTTATATTTTCCCCCATTTAGCAAAATGTTTATAAAACCCTTGATCATGGGCCGGTTGCACCAGCTGTGATAAGTTACAACTTAGCCTGTTATTTAAAAACACTTGTTATTTATGATCAAATATCGGAATAGAAACTTATTTTTACCATTAGTACGTGAGGCAAAAGAAGTTAGAATGAAGGATAAACAGAAACTAAAACTGAGGCTAAACATCATATTATGTAATTACTCATTACTTTACAACCTACTTAGATACGTTCTACCTTACGAACAAATGGTGCAATGGAATAAAGTACATAAAGAGATAATAAAGACATTAAGACATAAAGAATAGAGTTAGTTGAGCCTGTTCTCATTCCAAGTCGTCATATACTGAAGCTTTTGACATTTCGTCTACATCCAACGCACATGGCACCCTTTAGCGTCAATTTTATGTACCAACAGGCGCCTCCTAGTGGTCTAACCCTGAACTCCACCCCAGACCTAAACCTACCCATAACCGAAAAAAGTTTTGTGTGTGTTATATTGATGCTAAAGGGTGCCACGTGCATTTGATTTAGACGAAATTTCAAAAACATCACTATATGACGCCCTAGGATGAGAATGCATTTGTTAGTTAGTTAGTTATAAACTAGCTAGTAGTTACTAAGGCTCTGTGACTTTATGTTACAATTTAAGAAAGAACTTACGAACGGCTGGTCCAACCCTTAAAATAACAACTAAATTGCCTCCACGTCCATCTTATCACTCTCTGATATTCTCCCACTTGTCTCAAAAACACTTTTTTTTATGCTGCACATTTTCTTAACTGTCAGTGCTCTTCTTTCTCAGCAATTTAACATCACACCTTTCTGCGAGTGTTTTTCACAGACACAGGATAGTCTCATGTCAAGTGGAAAACTTTGACTAGTGGTTTGATGGCTAGAGCTAGGGGAGGTATAAGAGGGGTGCGATGAAACACAATGAGCTCTACATTCAAATATATATGGAGAGCGTCAAGAGTGGAAGGTCTGCTAGCTGTCTCCAAATAGCAAATTACTCATTTTATCCAGAGTGAATGATTAAACGCCACTGTTAAAAATGCCCTGAATCTCAAATATTTCTGGGGGTAGGATGTAAAAAAAGAGGCCTTTTGTGCTGATTTACATTTGATCTTGGCATCTCTGTTTATCTCAAGGCAAAGCTACCACAGGTATGATTTTGCTGCCACAAGGGTGCAGTCTTAGCACATGCTAATATCTGCCATGTATTCATTATGACAAAAACTGCAGTAATCTGCGCTGGGTTAATGCCAGTTGATAGGGAAGGCAGATAATCTCTGGCATCGTTCTTTCTTTCTTCCCTCATTGGTTGAACACAAATAA